TTCTTCCAATTGCTCTGATTTGTTTTTCTCTCTGTGGAGCATCTCTGGGTGTGGAAGCGTTCTCGACATAGCTGCACATTGTGGCCTACTGAAGAGGACGCGTTGTTCGCGGTAAAGCTTACTCAACTTTCTTCTCCTGTTGCTATCGTTGTGATCTGATCGATACTTATTTGGGCCAAGTTCATCATCGATGTAATTTACGTCAGTCTCGCTCTCGTCTCCGTGGCCGCCACCTGCTCCTGTTACTACTCCGGATGCATCCCACATTTCGCTTGCACTTTCGTCACCGTGTAAGTCTCTACCCAGTGGGTACTTTCTATAAAAAAGGCTTCTTCCTCCTCTGCCTCTTGCCCTTCTGCCTGCTCCACTGCCACTTCGGATTTGTTCGTTCGAGGGATAATCCCGGATAGGGCTTCCTCCTCCCTTGGCTTTCATGATGTACTCCCTATTGCTTGGGTAATTGTTGACGGATGGCACGTCCATCGGGGAATTCTGTATAAAGCTCTTATTACATTTCTCCATCATCAATTCGTAGTTGCCGCTGTCGCTGTAAAGCAAGTGTTGCTGCTGCTCGTGGTGCCGCTGCTGTTGGAGGAAATCTCTTTCACATTCGCGCAAGGGAAACAGCTTTCTCTCGCCCGTTCTCCTTTTCATTTGGGTCACACTCATGGAACCACTCCTAAATGCGCTCTCCTCCTCCATCATGGAATCCATATGGCTCCGCTTCACTCCCTCGTAAGGCATAATCATGTACTTATCATCTTCGTACACCTTATCCACATCAATGATGTAGTTTACCATCTGCTCCCTTTTTTTGTCACAGGGAAAGAACGAATTGACTGCTGTGTCGTCCTCGACGTCATTGTAACAATTCAGAAGTGCACTTTTTTTTTTAAAAAAATTTTCCTTCTCCCAATCGTAATCGACAACGTTGGAGGCACTGGCTGAATTTCGTCTATACACATTGTAGTTCTTCCTCTGATTAACGTCCTCCAAATCGATAAAATCGTTCGTATTTTTTCTGTCCCTATTGCTCATATTTAATTGCTTATATATTTGATATTGATTTTCTTGTAATTTTTCAACATCTATAACATGAGTGAACAAATTTCTGTGCCCTCTTTCTGAGGGTATTTTTGTGCGTATATTAGAAAAAGCATTTGGATCAACTGACATTAGGTTATTTGTTTTGGGAGCCATTTTCAAACTTCTGTTGTTAGAGGAATGATCATACAAACCATTACACTTGGAAAGTGAATCGTGGTAATAACTGCTACTGGGTATGGCTATGCTGCTGCCATAATGATGCATATATTCATTTGATGCCATAGTCTGCCGGGAGTCGATAATTCTCCTTTTATAATTCATATCGGCCTTCCTAACGATTTCAATTTTGTTGCTACTTACACTTACTTTTTGCCTGTTAATCTGACAATCTCCTGTATTCACGGGGGACGAATCGAAAGTCATGGCGGAAGTTGCTGTCAAACCAGTCGTTCTCTTTCGTGGGGATGATGAGGGTGTCACCATAATTGCTGACGCTACGGCTGGAGGCGCAGAATCCATGGCTAATGGGCCAACTGGTCCACCACCTCCTATGTCCCTGCTAGAATAATCATCCTCATCGTACAAATTTGCAATGAGAATTTTTTCTTCCGATTTGTTTCTTTTGCTATAATAATATACGTCACTTGGAGAGGACCATTTTTGCCCATTCAAACTGTTAATGTTGGGCAGTGAAATAAAGGTTCCTTTAAAATCCTTTTTTTTTTGTTCCGCTAACGTTGCTGATTTGTTGTCATCATTTTTGCTTTCCTTCATTTTTCCTTCTAAATAATCTTTTATCACATGGTTAGCACAGTTTTCCTTCCCAATATGATCATAGTGATTTTTTGGGAAATAATTCTTTCTAGCCCTTCGGTAGAGGTTGTACGCAATGCTGCTGTTCAGGTTAAATGGGTTGCTGTAGGCGGTCTTTTTCTCACTGCGCACGTTTCTCAGGTATCTTTCCACGCTCTTCCCTCCGTCCGAGAAGTTGCCGCTGATCACGCGCTCGCTGTACCGCATGTGGTATTTATCCGGGACACAGGTGCTCCTGCAGCAGTCGTCCCAACAGGCGTTATCTTGGCAGCCGCCATGTTGGCAGTTACCGCTCCGATAGCTACGACCTCGACAGTTACCACCCCGGCAGCAATTATCGTGGAAGCAACTCTCCCCGCAGCTGCCCTCCGTGCACTCAAACGCGTTCGAGTTATTGAAAAGGTTAAATCTGTTCCTGGGGAGCGTTTCTAACTTTCCGCCGCTGTTCCGGCTGTACGGTGCCATGGAGAACAGCAAGTCGTCGCGATGACGGTCATCTAGATGGCCATCCAGATCGTCATCCATATTGTCATGATGATGATCATCACGATTGTATTGTTGGTCGTGATGGTGGTCCCCGTGATCGTGATCCGCGTGATCGTCATACACGTGCTCCTCGACTTCGCCATCATACACATCGCTCTCGTTCCCGTGTCTCCTCCCCTTCTGCACATCAGAACCACAACACGCACATTCCTCATCGGGTACTTTGTCCCGTATTAAGTTATCCTCGCTGTAATTAAGCATTTCTTTGTCTCCCTGGAAAATGCCAACGTCAAAATTGTCGTAGTTGCTATTAATTCTGCACACCTCGTCATATGGATTTCTGTACATTTCTTTTTTAAAGGCGCATTTCTTAACATAAGGATTGCATGTCGCGTTCATCTCTGCAGAGAGGCAGACGCTAACATCGTTGTCATCGCAGTCAGTGCCCTTGATATGTCGGAACGGTTTAATGCACGTGGTTACGTCACCACCTCGGGTGCCCTCCCCATAACAGTCACCGCTGCAGTGTTCATCGCAGTCTTCGTCGCAGTCGGCATTGGCATCCACATAAGCGTCCGCCTCGACGTCCGCGTCAACATCTGCGTGATTCTCCTCGTCGTCTCGCTCGCTCCTCTCAACGTTGATAGAGTCCTTGTTGAGAGTATTGCTATTCATAAAGGAATAATTGAGGAAATTCCCTTTCTTGCTGCGCACTCTACTATAGGCACTACGTTCCTGTTCTGATTTATTGTATTCGTAGTTTCTATTTGAGCAGTGCCGATAGGTATTGTTGTTCCTCAAGGTGTCACCGCTCACCGCATCAGAGTTATGTGCGAAATTGTTTTCCACGTCGGAGTTTCTTTTAAGTAGTTCCGCGCTGTTCGTATCGAGGTTGTCGTCACTTATGCAGATGCCGTCGTGATGTCCGCTGTTCTGGGCGCTGTGGTCAGTTCTACAGTTGCCATCGCCTCGTTCCTCTCCATTTTCGTCCTTCTCATAGGCATCGCTTCCACTACCATCACCAGCACTAATTGCATCAATACTGCCTTTTTTGTCGTTCCCTTGCCCGTTTACACCGTCGTTGTTTCCATGACTCAGACAGATATTGCTCGGCGCGGCAGACGTCTTTGTTTCTCTCTTTGAAAGTTTGTCAAGCATTGAGTAGTATTTTTGCAAACTCTCTTTGTTTCGAAAAATCTCGGAGCCATCCTGTTTACCTGAATAACTTATGTTTGGAAAATGTTTCAAATCGCTAAGCGATATGTGCCTATTATTTTGATAATCATTCCTGTGATATCCCTTTTTTCTCGTGGCATTGTTTTCTTCTTCCTTAACCTGTTCGATGCCCATTTTCTGATTCTCCATGTGCACGACGTACGACTGTTCCTCTTTTTCCTCCTCGTTTGCGCAAGCATGGCATTTCCTTTGGATCATTCCCTTCCCGCCTAAATCACTAAACGAGTCATCGTTCGGTTCATCCGTGCTCTTCACATAGTGATAACATTTGGTGGAGTTATAATTGCCCCTGTTTCCTTCGGAGCGGTTCTCACTATTTTCCGTCTGTGTGTTTGCATAGTGGCTCTGTATATTTGCGTGTTGATATGTCTCTAGTCTGTCTGTCCGGTCTGACCTTCCTACCTGATCATTCTCAGGTGACTCCCCTTGGTTGCATTTGTCACTAATATCGTTGCTCATTTCATACTTGTTTTTTTCCTCACTGGCTGGGAAAGGTTCCCACGTGTCAAATCTTTCCAGGGAATTTCTCATCTTCCCTGTTTGGCTTTTCATTTCATTATTATCGAAATATTCTTTTAATTCGTATGGAGAGCTATACGAATTGAGACTTTCACCTCTTCTGCTAAAGGGTACAGTGAGATGGTCATCGTTCTTTCCTATTTCTTTTGACTTATATTTTGCATCTCTGTGTCCTCCTTCTTCATTGTTGTTATTCGACATGAATTTTGATATTTTGGAGAAAAAATTCTTCAGTAGAAATTTATCGTAAGGAAAATTTTTCTCGTCATATGGGGGTTTCTCCCCGGTGTGTGTTTCTGTGGGGTTGTTCTGATGTGCCTCGTCTAACTGGTCAATGTGGTTCCCGGTCTCGTCCGCTACACAGTTACCAACGTGATGGCTAACGTGATCGCTAACGTGGTCGGCGATGTACTCTCCACTATTCTCGGCGCTACTCCCTTCGCAGCGACCAGATCCCGGATCGCACTCAACCTCGCGGTGTCCACTACCCGCTTTGTTTCCGCGCTGAACTGGCGCCTTCCGCTTTGGACCGCCAGTCAGTTTATCATCTTCTTTTGCCTGATGATTCTGTGCATCCTTCGCTGTCGACGGCGCTGCCGCTGTGGTGGATGTCGCCACTCCTGATGTGGCCTTATCTTCCTCCTTGGTTGAGGCTCCACTTTCCGCTTCCCGAGCGGCGCCCACAGAAGTGGAACCCTGAGTGGACCTCGGTTTGTTAATGCCAAATATGTCAAAGGTGTCGTAATCATCACTACCATCCACATTTTGAAAAGCGTCCAGGAATTTCGAAAATTTACTTTGGTTATCCATGTAACTGTTATTGTCTAAGTTGTAATCCGTGTCGTACAGGTTATCATTACTTTTGTTGTTCTTTCGACTTTTGTCCTTGTTGGCATTTTTGGCATCGTTGGAACCATTTTTTGGGGAGCCGCCTAGAAACTCCTCCTTGGGGAAGATGGACGCATGTGCAATGGAGAAATAATTCTTGTCCAATAAACTTCGGCTGCTCTTTCTATGCGTTTCGAAAGGCATATTATTGTCGTAAAACAATTTGGCAGATTTGTATGGATTTTTATGTGAGTCGTAGTCTTGTTCTCTCTCCATGAACAGATCATGTTCGCTTTGGACTTGGTCGCTATTGATGCTTAGGACGTTACTGCTGAGGATGTTACTACTCATGCTGATACTAGTACTGACATTCTGATTGTAATTATTTTTCGCGTTGGTCAAATTTTCCTCTGTCACGGGCTGCTCGCTCGTAATTACATCATCATTGTTGTTCTTTTTTCCATATTTGGCGTAAAACAATGAGAAAATGTTTAAATTGTTTTTGGATATTTCCGTTTTGGATGCGTTATGCATGCTTTTGAAAGATTGTCTACTTCACTTTGGTGCGCAAGCTCGCGATGGTCGTTGTGGTTAGGTTCTTTGGTAACCTGCTGGATCGTTCCCACTTCTCCTGCCCTTTCTCCTTCCTCGTTAAAAGAAAGGAGCGCACGGTTCACGAATTTGAAATTTTACTCATACGCCTTCGCATATTTTATTACATCCACCCGGTCCTTCCTACACCATTTGCATGCAACACGTGTGGACGTTGCAGGAAATTCAGACACATCTAAACGTACATACGTGTGGGCATATAGGTACTTTTATTTTAATTTTACTTTTTTACACAAAAAAAAATTATGGGGGGAAAAAAAAATTCACTTTGCTACTACCATTAAATTTTCCGACGTGGACTGCTCATCATGTTCAAATAGACCGAGGTTCAAAAAATAAGATAAAACACCAGAATAAACAAAATAAACAAAATGAACAAAATGTTTCTGGATAAATGTCATGGGTCGTGTGCTAGGAGATCAGTCTTCACAAAAAAAATTTTACAAAAACTGTTTGTAACTGCCTTCCTGCGCGTATACATACGTGCACCATGTGTTGTGATCCGCATTGGGGGAGGAGATAGATGTTGCGCGCACTCGTCGCATTCCTGGAGCTTCCACTTGTTTCCTCTTATGCTGCATCGTTGGGTTTCGATGAGGGACACATAGAAATACGCGAGGCAGGGGTGCAAAGGGGAAGATGTGCAAAAGGGCAGATGTGCAAAAGGGCAAATGTGCAAAAGGGCAAATGTGCAAAAGGGGAAATGTGTAAAAGGGCAAATGTGCAAAAGGGCAGAAGCTATTAGGCAGAGGCTTTCGTGTACACAAATGTATGAGACTTAAAGGTGTTGCGAGAATGGAGGCCACCATAAATGGGTTTGCGCATCTCACACTATTCCTTCACTATTTTGGCATACGTTCAATGTTAACGAGAAATGCACGTGTTCATTTTTGGCTTACTTTTGAAGGTAACCAAAAAAGAACTAAAAAAATACGTGAAAAAAATGCAAAAAAGGCAAAAAAATGAGAAAAACGGAAAAAAGGAAAAAAAATAAAAAAACGCAAGAAGCGCGAAAAAATGTCCAAAATAAGTACAAAGCTTAATGGAATATAGTACACGTGGGTGTTCGGTTGCTTCTTGAGGTCGCACGCGTAACACGAACACGCTGATAAAATTGTAATGCTTATGTTCACACGTATATAAAAATTTTGACGCACAAGCATAAAGCCCGTAAAAACTTGCACTCAAAAAATTTTCCCAAGGGGTGGCAATTACGTTACGTACATATATGGCATATGCTACCAATACTAAAGGTGCGCACGTGCCGGAGATGCGTACACGAGCTTAACATAGCCATGCGTTATAATACATACGATTTTTTCCTTATGGCACATATGAATAAAAGCAAATAAGCATATGCAAAGGCACATATAAAGGGTTATAAACATGTACATATGTGAAATTACATCCATGAAATGAATGTAACAAAAGGAAAGTGATAACGAAACATAATAAAAATAATCTAAAAAAATGGAATGAATCTCTATAAATTCATCATCTCTTTTAACATAAAAAAACAGAGATGACTATGCCTTAAAAAAATAATATAATAAATAATTACTGAATCAGCAGTAAGTAATATTTTAAGGAAAATAAAAATAACTTTTTAAATTCACAAAAAAATGTACAAAAAAAAGTTTTTTTTTTTTGTAAGAAAATACAACGTATTGTATATATCAAAAAAAAAAAAAAAAAATAGGTTCACGTGAACACGAGTGTGGCACGCCATGAGCATATGTAATAAGCGCAAAAATGCAGATATATACGTAAATATATTTTATATATATTAAATAATAAGTATATTATGGTATATTGTAACAATTTGTTCGTGCTTGCGCGAATTCGCATATGCGCGTTGCGCTTTGAGCGTCGCCTTTTAACGTGCGCTCGGTTCGCCGCGGACTTCGCGAGGCTCTCCCTACTGCGACGAATTAGAACTGCGCATTGCCCAAGTCTGGTTTCATCCTTACTACAGAGCATTTTTATCTTTGCGAATTTTCCTTTCAATAGGTTCTTTTTTTTTTCTTAATCTTTTTGTACAGTACGGACGAAGTGTTACCCTTAAACCGGTTAAATATAACCCACTTTTATGTCATTCTGATGCAGGAGCGTTTTTTTTTGGGGGGCGGGGGGAAGAGTAGCTCATTTTGGAGAGGCGTATCTTTTCATGCTGCCAATATTCATATATATATTGGGGGAGTGGAAATGCCCGCCACCCCGATGGGCGTGAAATAGGTTATTTATACACGTGTATAACAAATACGCATATAAAAATATTCTTATGGGCTTCTTTTGCCGTCCATTACCCGTTTGGGGCGAAAATTTAACTATTATCAAATTTGAAAGGTTCCTAATGATGAAAAAGAAAAAAAAAAAAAGTAACGCACACGAAGGAGATATCATTTTGTTCCTCGTTTCAACACCTTTTCTTTCGCAAAGGTTCTTACATTCTTACAGAAAAGTACGCTTTTATGTAATTAGTGTTTTTTTTTTTTTTTGCGTTTCTTCTATGCGTGCTTTTATAATATATATTTGTTTGCGACATTCCTCCCACTCCACGCATACATATATATACGTACATATATATATGTACATATTACATATATGCATATATTACAGGTATACATATGCGTATGTTTTCACAATTCGCAGTATTCCACGTTCCCCACGCATGGCCAAGCAAATGTGCCAAGCACCCCACGAGCATCATCATAATTTTACTCCCCTTTCCTTATTTCCTGTTTCATTTTATTTGCTGCGATGCATGAATTCGCCTTCACCCGTTACTCTATTCTTTTTTTCTTTTTTTTTTCCCACTGGGCCCACTTGTACATATGTGCTCCTCGCGGGTCATCCCTTTTTTGGCCTCATACATCGACATTCGCCCTTGTTAATTCCTTTCTCTATTTACGATTATGTCATTTGTTTCTCTCTTTTTTTTTTCTTTTTTAATGACTTAATTCGCTACTAGCTTCATCGAATTAATGCCAAGTGAATTGTGTTCCCTTTGGCGCGCAACTGTGTATCATGCGCGTATCAGTGTATCATACACGTTGTGCGTGCTATACGCAGAAATTTGTATGAGCATCAGCCAACATGGGCCAGTATATTCATATATACACACATATAACCCTGTTACACTGCTAAGATGTGAAGCAGAGGGGCGTGTTTTTTTTTTTTTTAAATCGTTTTTAATTAAAAACTTTTTAATTGGAAATAGGTATTCGTTCGAATATGCATATGGAGCTGAAAGGAGAAGCAGGGGGGCACGAAACACAGAGGATTTGACACTCGTGCAGCTACACGAGAAGGCACACCAGCGGCCACCCGCGCAGGAATTCATGCGCACGTTTATGTAGTGATGTTTGAATCAATGAACAGAAAGGAGAGAGAGGCACCATCTTCTGCTTACTGACCCGAGGTGTATAGCATTACGCGCACGTATTGCATATGCACATGTAGGAGCAAGTTCGAACGGCTTGTACCGACGGGAAAAATATCCTCGGAGAAGGAAAAAAAAAAAAAGAAAAAAAAAAAGGAAGGAAAAAAGAAAGAAACGCACCTCTACACCCACCTCTTTCCTTGTGCATCTCAAGGACCACACTGCTACCTCAAAATGTGTGCGAGTCGAAAAAATTTCTCCTATTTTGAAATTCATACGCTCAAATGAACAAGTGATGCCTTTTTCATGTCACCTTTAAAAGTTTATCGGCCTCCACGTTATTTTATTTTCCCTTCTAATATCAACTGGGGGTGACCTTTTTTGGTTTGTCCTACACTTCCTTTTCGCCTACATTTGTGTGTTTCTATCCCGCGTTCCGTCCACGCTGATTCGACACAAAGGTGACGCCGAGTTGGTGTACCGCGACGTGAGTTAGCTGCATATTTGTGTTTTTCTCCTCCATCCCGTCAAAGTCAGTACTGTGTGTTTTTATTAGTCTTTCCCAAAATGAGCGAGTCGGAGTTGCAGCAGCTACAGGTCCTTTGCGAGGCTATGTATTGGTAAGAAAAAGGAGAACACGTGCTAGGAAAACTGCGAAGAGATAGCAGGGAGTTATCTGTGAATCTGTTAGTTCCTATTCATGTCGCATGGCGATAGAGAGGGCATGAAGCCGCCAATGGTTTTGTTAGCGGCAGTTCACGAAGTTCCGATAAATTTCTACTTCCGTTTTTTTTTTTTTTTTTTCTTCTCTCCCCATGCAGCGGAAATAAGGAAGAACAGAATCAAGCGCACACGATACTGTTACCCCTAGTGAACAATGTAGGGAACGTAAGCAAATTAAAAAACATCCTGGGGAACACGAGCCATGTGCACACGCTAATTTTCACGACGTCGGGGTTGCTTCAGTTAATCACAAATGAGTGGAACAAGATAGAACAGAACGAGAAGGATGAGTTGAAAGAATTCGTGCTGTCCTATTTGTACAACAAAGGAGTAGACATTTTAAATTTATCCTCCAACGTGTTAGGAAATTTAGTCAGATTGTACGTACGCATAGTAAAACTGTCGTGGTTGGAAAATACGAATTATTCACTGATAATAAAGCAAGTAGATTACTTCCTAAATTCAGTAACAAGTCATTGGATAATCGGATTGTACATTTACGCAGCACTGATAGAAGACATGCACCCCCAATGTGGAGTGAATTCCGCGAAAAACAGGAGGTGCGCAATCTCGTTTAGAGACTACGTACTGAAAGATATATTCAAAGTCGGCATAGAAACGCTCGAAGAGTTTGTAAAGGGAAGCATACGGATAGAATTAAGAATGGACGAAAATCGGTTGTTAATTAAAATATTAGAATTAATATACAACAGTTTGTCCTTCGATTTTATGGGTACAATGATAAATGATGAAAGTTCTGATGAAAATGTATCTCTGATGATACCCCAATCATGGGACATATTTAACGAGAAGAACATTCCGAAGTTATTTTTCGACATGTATGAAATTTGTATGTCTGATGAGGACGACTTGCGTAACTGTTGTGGTAAATATTGCCTGCGATCGTTAATACTCCTTGGTGGATTGAGGAAAACTTTTTTTTCGAGTGAAAAACAAAAGACACATTATATGAATGAATTCTTGGGAGGACTTAATAACATTATCGAAAAAAAAATTGGCCTCCATGATGAAGATTGCTTCCATGAGTTATGCCGACTGATAGGAAAAATTGACACGAGCATTCGGCTGCAAGAATTAAGTACCTACCCAAACTTCCTCTCCTGGTGTCACAACATATATTTATTTACTATTGATGGAATGAAGAACTGGAAGTACCTCTGCAATAGTAAACATTACCTGCTGGGCATTTGGAGTAATATGTTAAATATAATTCCATCCAAAGTGATAAAAGAAATTAATAGCCGCACGGATGAAAATGAACTGTTGAAAGATGTCCTGAGTAATAAAAATATTTTCCTAAAAAAAAATCCAATATCGAATAGCTTCAGTTCGCATGAGATTGACAATAAGTTCCTTATTATTTGTGATTACATATACGACATTAGTATGATTTTTATCAACACCCGGTTGGAGCTAGCCAAGTATATTTGCGAGACGGGGGACAACTGCGAAATGGAAAACCCCCTATATAATGATGTTCTACGGAGTGAACAGATGGAGCTCATTTCGAACCTTTCCAAATTGCAGTACCATTTTATTGGAGCTAAATTGCTGTCTATTTTTTATGAACTGAAACATAGCCACGAGAATAATTTGATTAGCAAAACGGTGTTTATTGAACAAATAACGTGGTTGGTTTTTATTATCGCCTCCATCATATCGAGTAGTGCTGTCTCCAACATGAAAAGCGCCTCGTCTGACAATTTTAAGATAAATTCCGAACTCTGCTTTCTCGTTTTCTCCCTCATGGAACAGACCAACAAGTCGGCCGAAGTTTTTGAGTACCTCGAATTTGCCTACCTAAACTGTTTGGAGCTTTTTAAAAAGATTTACATCAGTGGGAAGAAAAATAATAACTTTCTGAAGGAGATGAAATGCGTGGCGATGCGAATTACCATCCCGTCCACTGGGATTGGACCGAATGGCGGCACAGGGGGGGGGAGTAGCGCCAATCCGTCTGGAGGAGAGCACCCATTGCAGATGTCAAGCTTGATAACGCCTGACGGTGTAAGCAGCAACGGGTTGGCCTTTCCATCTGGAAGTGCAGCAAATAATGTCACGTCAACCATGATGAATAACAATATGAACAACTTTTCCACCCCATCGTTAATTACAAATCAGGATGACGAAGAAAACAACGACCCCCTCATAGACCTAATCGTTAGTAAGATCTTATTTAACTTGAATAACCGAACCGATTGTGAGCAAATTGTGAAGAGAAGTCTGGACTTGTTTCATGACCTCGTATCCGGCATGAACATCGTATGCTTGGAGGATAAAACACCTAAACTTATAGTCTTCGCGAGGATGCTACTGAAAAATGAAAAGGTGCTAAATTTACTACACAATCGGGATAGTAAATTTTTGAAGGTAGCAAAATATTATAAGTACAGAACGAACTACTACTTAATATTGACAAAGCTCCTATTCATGGAGCAGAACCTCGTCTCGTCGTCCTTTGAAAAATATATCCTACCAATAAACAACCTGCTGGAGTGCATCAAGAGAGAAATAAGCCTAAATGGGAAAGACATCATTCTGAAGAATAACGAAATAAAGTTGTCCTTCATTGGGGTACTCCGAGATTTGAGAGGAATCTGCATGGCTTGCAACAATGTAGAGACATATAATATGTTTTTTAATTTTTTCATCAATAGTTACCCTCTGGAAGACAACCAGATGAATATTCTCACCTCCTTGGTAGACGTCATATGGGACAGCTATGACATATGCATTCCTTTCCTCAAATTCATGTGCGAGTTTGTCTACAACAAATCGCAGAGAATCACCTTCCCCAAGTCTTCCCCCAACGGTATACTCCTCTTCAAAGTGGTATCAAACATCCTTATTATCATTTCCAATAACTTGCTGCAGAAGGAGAAGTTTATGGACCTATATAAGGAGAAATACAAGATTATCTCTCTCCTGCTGAATATGTTTAATAATTGCCTAAATGGCGATTTCGTAAATTTCGCCATCTTTGACTTGTACAATGATGATATACTGAACAATTCGCTCAACTTGGCTTTGAACATGTGTCTGGTAATCCCCACCAATGACTTACTCTCCTACATCAAACATCTGAAGCCATACTTTTCCTTTCTCGATTTAGTTACGAAGAATTTCTTCCAGCGAATTTTGAACCTCGAATTTCAGCTCATTGCTGATATTATTCACAACGTTAAGGAAGGCCTCTGCTCCTTTGACTACACTGTGTCCATGACTTGCTGCTCTATCTTGGACAACATCGTCACGTACATTTTTACCAACCGGAAGAGCTCCACTGAGCAGGGTCAGGTACCGCAAGAGAGGGCGACGTATGGCGTGCAGAGCGGAGTGTGGAAGGGCCATTCCACGTGGAATTTGGGCGTCCTCGGTTGCTTGGAGCTTGTCACGTTTTCGTCACCACATCTTCCTCACCGCATCTTCCTCACCACCTCTTACTTGATTTCTCCCCTTCCCACAGATAATAAAGAACTTCTTGGAAAGCCAGCCGCAAGCCCTCAAGGAAGTGCTCAATCTCATGTTCCACTTGATACTGGGAGGTAGGCGCCACCCGAATGGCTCCCGAGGGGAGAATGTTCCCCATTTCATCCCCACGAGAGCATCTCCCCGGCGCACGCCCCTTTTTTTCCCCCTTTTTCATCCAATGCACTTTCTCACCATCGCAGGCGATTTTGGCAGCACCTGGAGCATGTCGCAGCCTCTGTTGGGTCTAATACTGCTTGACGCGCAGGGGTACTTCAAAATACAGGAGCAACTCATTTCACAGCAGAGCGAAGAGAAGCAGCAGAAGTAAGTGCCCCCGACAAGGGGGGAAATGATCGATGTTCCGATCAAATAAACATCGTAGAAGACAATATGAACCCCTTCTCCTATCATCACTGTTGACGGTGGTTCCCGCCCGACCAGTTCAATCATTTATTTTGTGGTACCAACATTTTCTGCGTTCTTGTCCCCTTCAGGCTAAGGCACAGCTTTTGCAAATTAATGGACCACATTGAGTCGAATTTGGCTCCGAACAACCGAGTAAGAAAGGACACACTACTCTTCTGTCTTCCTCCTCCTACGCCGCGCGTGCGTACCACCAGTCCCTTCGATTGAAAAATCTGCCCACGCTGGGGGGGCGAAATGTCGCCTTTAAATTATATGCCCCACTTGGCTCACTCCCACCTGTCTACCTTTTTAGGAAAACTTTACGAGAAACCTGTATACCTTTGCCCAAGAAATTAGGAACATCTTAATTTAAGAGGACCCTCCACCACGGGGTGATCCTTCGCATTAACGATTTTGAATATGATATTTCTATTCTCGTTTCTTTCCACTTGGTTTTTTTTTTCACACCCTTTTTATCGTAATAAACTTATAACCCACGCGAAAAGTTTATTTTTGTTTTACTCCCCTTTATTCGCCCACTCGTGGAGCTATTCATTCGCCCATGTGTGTTATCATTATTTATTATTTTTTTACCTTTTAAAGTAGAATAAACTAAATAGCGCCACTTGTAAATTCTATATGTTCCCATTACAGTGAACAATTTTTTTTTTTGCACTGCTCCTCTGATATGAATTTTTCTAAAGGAACATTTTTAGTGAAGCATGTTCCGAGGGTGCGCTGTGAATTTTTTGGGAAAATTGCTAAAATGGATTTCCCCTTGCTTTCATGTAGAATTATTCTAAATTGGCGGGAAAGGAAAAAAAAAATAAAGACAGGGCAAAAGGGGGCTTGTCCTCACCAGTTCGGGAATTTCATAAAGCCCCCCATTTATGAGAACCAAATGTTAGGTGTGCACATATGGGCGTGTATTTATGTGTGCCTGTTGCTGTTTCTTCCCTGTTCTTACGTGCCTTTCGTATGTCCCCACCTGCACCTTCCGGACACACCAGAAAAGGAAGCAACTAATTGATGCAATTTCTCCGTAGGTTTGTCATGGTTTCCCCTTTTTCCTTGAATAGATCTTAAACTTCGGACACAGAAAATGAGGCAAACGGTGTTCCTTTCCCTAAATGTGCTGTTACTCCTTTTTGTGAAAAAAAAAAAAAAAGAAATGAAGGACCCTCCCCCCCTGGATTGAGCACTTTGCATGCATAATAACGAGTAGGAAAAAAATGAAGCGATGCACAGTAGACACCTCGCTGGTGCAAATGCTTATAGGAAATGTTGCACGTTGCTATTTCCCAGGGAGTTACATTTTTCTATGTATTATTTTTCCCGAGCACAAAAAGGGCTGTCACAGAATGGCCAAACTGAACAAGCAACAGGATTAACGCGAGTGAAAAAGAGCAGCCTCGACCTTGAGACAACCAAACGAATCCCCCAAAATGGCAAACAACCCAAACGAAGTAGAATTTTGCTCCCGCGTCATCAAATGGCAAGGAAAAAACGATGAATGCAACAACAACCAGCGGAATGAAAGTAGCCCCAAAGTGTGGTTCGACTATTACAATGACGTAGTGAGGGATGATCTCAAGGACGTAGAAGCCAATACACTATTTAACATGAAAAGACACATGCTTACGAAAAAGATATATCCCAAGAATAAAAACTCCGCTTTATTGCTACATAATCCTTTCGACTTTAATTTGAAAAGAACTCATCACGGAAATGAAGGGAAGGGCCATTCGAGTGTGAGAAGTGCCCACTCCAATGTGGGCACAGAACGGAAGAAGAATTTTCTCTTTGAGGATTTTGTTTGGAATAACGAATTGAAGAGGTATGTCAAATTGGAACAGGTAGACAGGGGACAACATAGGAAGCATGGTAAGAACAGCGGAACCCCTAGGGGAGGCTTCAACTGTGGGAACAGCACTCGGAGAAGCAACTCTTGCGTGGGATTGGACAATCGCGCAGGGACCATCAGTCACCAAAGAGAAAGTGGAACTTCCCAGGCGAAATACACTCGTTTAAGGAGTGAGCGGGGGGTAGTAGGGTGCCAGCAAAAGAATGGACCCGTAGCAATCCCAGCACCCCCCGTCGAAGCGCCGAGTGTGTGGGGGGGTGATCACCCGCGGATTCCCCACAAAAAGTATCGCAGTGAGCACCCCAGTGTTAACCCAAACGGTCACCCAAAGGAAAGACACGGGGATGACACAAGTGCTCACCAGAGCGTATACTATAGTGCTGCTCCCAATTCCTACAGGAGTGCTTGCCCAAACGAATACTATAATGCTAACCTAAATTCCTACATGAGTGTATACCCAAACGAACACCAAAGTGCTCACCACAATATTCACCATAGAGGTGACCCTACTGCTGACCCTAGTGCCTTTCTCGCTGCCTACCAAAGAGGATACCACAGCGCTGAGCCCAGCACTTACACAAGCTCAAACTACAACGCTGCAGTCCTTACCTACCCCAAGGCTCCTACACCCGACGTGGCGCATCAAATAGAGGAGAACCTGAAAAGGATGATTCTGTCAAAATCGCAGGCCCTCAAGAACGACACGATGAGAAACAATCATGGAGAAAATATCCTGATGGTCCAGGACGAGAAAACAGGGAGGGTGAAAATCGTGGCGAACAAAAGGATCGAAATAGGTCAAGTCATCTTTATAGAGGAGTGCGTCCTGGAGACATCCATCCAGCTGGAACATTTATGGGACACGTTCAATTCGTTGGACAATGAGAAAAGAAGGAAGTTGGATAAGATTTGTGAGTATATGAATATGGGGAGGGAGAATAAGAGCGGGGCACACAAACACGCAGGGGTGGCGGCAGCGATTCCGACAGCGGTAGCGAAAGAAGAACTACCCAAATCGGTCGGCAGAATGACAGGCAGTGGGGCACATACCACAGGCCAGGGGGATGGAAGGGCACCGCGTGTCATTTCCTACTGCCGAAGTGGAGAAAATACACACGAAAAATACACAGGACGCATAGCACATAGAACATCCACAAGAAGGGACATCCAGGACAGTCGGGAAGAAAAAAAGAAAAAATCAACAAATGGAAAAAAGAATGGAAAAACGAATGGAAAATTTGTACACGATTTAATTAAATTCGAGACATTCACAGATATACTAAAGAACTCTTTCATTTCGCCAAAGGATAAAACAGAAATCATGTTGTTTCAGTATGCGTCCCTTTTAAGTCACAGCTGCTTCCCGAACGCTAGCTACTCCTATATAGACATTAACAAGATCTGCTTCATCTCCATGAGGACCATAAATATGTATGAAGAAATTACCATCTCGCTAATCGATGAACTATATGCTTCCATCCAGCATAGAAGAAGCAAATTAAATGAAATTAAAAATGACACTTGCTTCTGCAACCGATGCTCACAAATAATGGACGAGGAAAGACACATCCTTTGTCCTCTCTGTAAATACTCCTACGTTAGGAAGGAGGCAGATCTCAAATATGGAAGAAATTCGTATCATAATGGAGGTAGGAATACCATCCCGTGGGGGGATGAGAGTCAGGCCTCCAGTGTGGGTGCCCCTCAGGGAAGGGCGATACAAACGGCGGAGCAGACGCACAAGCAAGTGATGAGTATACATCAGAACAAGGTGGGCACAAATAGTGGGACATCGCCTTGGGAATGTACCCCCTTCACAGAAGAAAAAGTTCACCTCCAAAAGGAAGTAAATAAGAGGCCATACCTCTCTTCCGATGGTGGCGAAGGTGGCATGGGATACTACTCGGGGACGCCCAACAAAATGGGAGGCATTACCAAAAAGAACACGAGAAAGACGGGAATAAATTCTGATGATGAACCCTCCATGTGTAGTGTCAGTAAAATGGATAAAGAGCAGTCATCCATGTATACTCAAAACAGAATGCCCAATGCGAGAATAATAAGCCCCGGGGAGGACCCCCCCAATTGGGGTGAAGCCCCCGTGGGACAATTTAATATGCTCAGATTTGAACGGGGTCTAAACATAGCCAACATTATGATGCTCATTTGGAACACACAAAATGAGAGGAATGAAATTGGGTGCTGCAAATTTCACAATAATGAAGAGCTATGGATATGTGATACCTGTGGTGAAGCAGTTTCTTCGTGTGCTCTACCGGTAGAAAGTGAAGAAAATTTCACAAAGGAATATAAACGTTTAAGAGACATCATAAGTAGCAACCAATTCGACAGGGACTATAATGTTGAGGGCAGTTTAAATACCATTGAAAGATCGCTTGTTTATATTATTGGCATTTTGGGGGAGAAGCACTGGCTATATGCATCGTTTAATTACCTAATGGCGGACTTTTGCTTCTCCGTTTGCTGCTACAGTTCGGATGAGTCAAACTGGGATAGATACCTTTTAAAAGGTTTTAATTCGTTTCAGAATTTTTTGTGGTTTATTCAAACGAGATGTGCCCATTCCATTCACACCGACTTGGTACCCCTGGTGTTGAAATTTTTCCTTGTCTGTATTTATACATGCAATTATAAGACCCTTTATGAATTTGCGAGGTCAGGTTTTCTCGAATTGATAAGACAGAAATATGGTCCTTGGAATATTCCCTTCATGTGTCTCTATCTTGCCTTTCAAATGTGCTATGCGCACATCAATGGCACGCTGCCCATATGCAGGGAGATCCTTTTGGTACTGGCAGACATGACTCGGGTGCGGCTCTTCGGGGAGCTCCCTCGTTGAGAGTATGGCGCCTCAGTAGACGCGTTAATGAGCGATGGTTCATGGGATCAAGCGGGGGGGGGAGTACCACTACGTATACGCCGCTCCCGGTGATACGCAGCGCTCCGAAGCGTTTCGGCGCACCTACATATCACGTCGATGTGAATGCCGATGTCAACGTCGACTAGCCCGCCCACTAGCACGCCCACTAGCACGACGACTAGCATGCCCACTTTTGCTCCCCATGGGGTCATTTCTTAACCTTTTTAAACAACAACTGGACAGTTATTTAACACGACAAACGTTGGGAATTCAAAAGCGGTGGAGGTGCTGGGACACAACACAGGGGTGTGCATCGCAAGGGCGTAAAATAAAAGGGGACAGAGGCGGGCGTACCACTACTGCGCTACCGCTGTGCTACTTCTCTTCTACTTCTGCACCACTCCCCCTTATTGCAAATAAAGCGATGTCATAAAAATGATATCCCGGCGGAGGAGGGTGCAGGTCGTCTCGAGGCGCTCCGCCAAGTCGACGTTCCCAAGGTAGAGAAAGGCGATTTTGACCTTCCTGCAAAGGTCGTCGAGCCGCAAAATGGATCTCACGATAAGTCCCTCCTCCAGCTCGGACTGCTCCAGCAATTCAGCAAAAGAGACACCCAGAGCCCACTTGTACGCAATGAACATAATCTTAAAGCTGCACAATTTCCAGTGATCTTCCGAGCTGATTTTCAAGCGAATAATTTTGTAAAATTCCTCAAATTGGCTGTGAATATTTGTCAAGGCCATTTTAACTTCCTGCAGGTTAACAGTAAGGTCTGGTGATTCTTCTATTTTTTTCTCTGGGGCAACAAAGCAAGACAGGACAGCTGCAATTTCGGGTGGGTTCAAGTTATTCAAAACGTTTTCGAAGATAACCTGCGTGAGGGTAATTTCATCAGTCATGGTAATGTAGCTAGCTATTTTGCCTTTAACCGTTAAATTGTGCTCATCGTCAATGAAGGAGAAATGTCTCAGCACGTCCAATCTTCCTTCCAAGTCTTCATATAAATTAAGAGACTTGGCATTTATATTTCGTTCAATATTTTCAATGTCGTTAAGGCAGTTGTTTCTTTTGCACACAAGTTCGTAGTGCTTCTCCTTCATGTTACAAGAGTAGCATTTGGACTTTTTTAAGGCCTCCAAATAATCGGCTTGATTTATCAGTACTGAGTAGAACTCACACTTCAATGACTTTAGCATTTTTGTCAAAACGAACGGCTCGAAATTTCCTTTCTCTATTAGCCTATCCAGTTCCAGACTGTACAGCAGCATATTCTTGGGGTTATTCAAAATGGCTGTCGTTTTTACATTCGGCAACACGATCACTGTGTTGGTTATTATGGAGATGTGCTCTAGGGAAACGTTGGAGCAGACCACGAAGTGCTTCTTCTGCATATCTGTGTCGAAGGAGTTGTGGTGCATGATTTGAATTGCGGTAGGGATCCTCTGCTTGGAAAAGAGGTTTCTGTAATTTACGAATATGTTCACTTTTTCGTGGGTCAATCTGTTGAGGTGCGTCACTGATGAGCGGTTCACTTGTTCGGGCAGCTTAACCCCCCCTGGAGCGTCTTCCTCCCCCCCCATTTTCTGCAGGAACTGCTCGTAGGTCATAAAGTCAGGCAAGATGAAGAGGAAAAAGAACCTCTCACTGGACTCTTCCCCTGTTCTGGAGTGGTTCTGAAAAAAAATGCTATTCGGAGCAAAGTCCACTTTTTCGCTTCTTTTGCTGCTACTCTTGTCACACCCGAGGTAAACACCGTAGATGGAGCTGTGCAGAGTGCCAATATTGTTTAGCAGCATGACTCTCCCGATGGCGAAGGAGTTGCTGTTCTTCATGGTGAACAGTTTTCTGTGTAAGCTCAATCCTATGTGTTTCAGCTTGGAGTCAATCTGTACGTAGTTCTCAATTGGAGACACGAACTTCACATCATCCGCATAGATGCACTGCACTTGTTTTATATTTTGCAACAGCTTTTTTTTTCTTTTCAAGTCTTTCTTAAAGAGAGGAATTTGAACAGCTCTGCAACTTTCCAGAAAGGAACTGAAGAGCATTTTCTCTATATTGATTTGTTTATTGATGAGCAATTTTAGGATCATATTGTAGGTGACCTTAAATTTGCTCTTCAGGCTAACTGCTTTCTGCATGAGCATTTCGGTTAGCTGAACCTGATCTGGGATCTTATCTGCACAGTAGATGTAAACATATCCGTACTTATCGGAGGATCTCCTTCCCGCTCGACCAGACATCTGTGTGTATTCTGACGAAGTGAGAATTCGCTTCTGCAATTGATCATGCTTATAAATAGAAGTAAAGACAACAGATTTGGCAGGCATGTTAATTCCCATGGCAAAGGTTTCAGTCGCAAAGAGAATTTTAATTAACCCTTTGGAAAAAAGGATCTCTACAATTTCTTTCAATATAGGAAGTAACCCACTATGATGTATTCCAATGCCTTTTTCCAGCAACTTGGTTAAAATTTGGATCTGATTTAGTTCTCTATCTTGTGCGCATAACTTTGCTATCGATTCTTTAATGAACAAATGCACCTTGGACTTGTGCTTATTGTCTAGGAAATTTAAATGGGGCATACTCTTAGCATACGTTTCGCACTTTATTCTGGAGAAGCAGAATAGGACCACTGGGAGTTTGTTGTCTTGTTCTAATTTTTTTATAAGTGCCTGAAGCTTTTGTATTTCCGTTTTCAAATTCACTTCGTTTGCGAAGAGCTTTTGTCTCCTTTTCTGTTTACAGTACTCGCTGTAGGCCATTGGCTGATCATTGTTTGGAGGAGCACCTTGGTCTCCTCCTTGCTGCTTATTCTTCCCGACGTGGGAGTTCCTCTTCGCGCCTGGCGCTTGTTTGGCCTGCCCCCCAGGATGGCCACCATGATAGCCATTGTGATGGCCACTGGTATGCCCCCCAGAATGCGCACCGCCATGCACACGATGTACCGCGGCGCCCGCCTTCTCCTTCTCCCTAACCTTCATGTATATCTCCTTAAAAGCGGAGGAGTAAATTTTGTTGTTCTCGTCCATGATTGGAAAGATCGAGTCGTAGGCATAAATATAGTGCAGCAGCGGTACAGGTCTCTTCGTCGTCGCGATGGAAATAATTTCCTTCTTCTTTGTGAATCCTACCCAATCGGCGAACTCCAGATAGTTCGGCACTGTAGCACTCAGTAGTAAAATCTGAACATGAGGAGGCAACATGATGATGGACTCCTCCCATATAAATCCCCTTTCGTTATCATTCACATAGTGCACCTCATCGAATATCACGCAGTGTATATTGTTAATTATGTTATCATTTATATAGAGTAAGTTTCTCAAAATCTCTGTTGTCATGATTATGCAGTTAGCATGGACATTCATTTTGATATCTCCTGTTATTATTCCAACACTTTTGAAGAGATTTTTGAACTCATGATATTTTTGGTTACTTAATGCTTTTATGGGGCTGGTGTATATTGCTTTTTTGTTTAATTTGATGGACATGGCGATGGCGTGCTCTGCTATTAACGTCTTTCCTGCTGATGTGTGCGCTGCTACAAAGACATGTTTGAAATTGTTCAGGTGCTTTATGGACCTTTTTTGAAAATCGTCTAGTTCGAAGTCGTAGCTTAGGAGCAGATCATTTTGGCTGAACTTTGTCACGTCCGAGTGGTTGTCTTCTATCACCCACTTCTTCCTTATGTACTTCACGTTGCCTTTATCGTCGCCGGCGGGAGGTTCCTCATCGGGGGGTTCCTCAGCGGGAGGTTCCTTCGGCTGCGTTGGCGCGGCGCCTGGGGGAGTGGCTTCCATCGTGTGTTCCATCGTGGCGTCCTCAATATCGCGTAACTTCACCTCTCCTGTTATGTCTCCCTCCAATTCGGGTTCAACGCGCGCGTCAATTATGTTCTCCACTGCGCTCTTAGTGAGGACTTCCTTCGTGGGAGCCCCCTCGGCGCCCCCCCTGACGTTACCCTTGGGCTGACTGACATATTCCACGGAGCCAAAGCAGCTGAAGTGGAAGTTCTCATTTAAGGAAAGTTTCTCCGTGCATGCCGAATCGTCATTTATGGTTACTGCCGTCTCGCAATATTTTAACAAAGAATCGTTGTACATGAAGTTGCTAATGTCGTACTTCTCTATCATGCTTTTGATGGAAAAATTGTCGACGACGTGGTTGGTGAGTCCGTTCATCACTTCGTTTAAGTTGAAGTTGAGTCCACTGTCCATGACATTTGCGAAGGGGAGGTTGCCTGTGTAATATGGTTCATTGGGCCCCACATCTCCTCGCTTTTCGAAGGGGGTTTCGTCGTAGTTTTCAAGGGCATAACTGGACAATTCGTGGTTCGGGCCGAATGGAGAATCCCTCGATCTGTTCACCGCTTCTTCCGCCATTCTGGTGTAGTTTTCTACCCCTCCTGCATCGTTTGCTACGTTCACCGCATTCGCCGTACTTGGCGAATCCTCCTCCGTCCCATCCACCTCCTCGTCATCTTCATCATCGCTGGTCCAGAAGTCCGAGAGGTTGGAGTATATATACGCCATCTTGGTCAAATGGGGAAACTACCCCTCCTTTCGTCAGCTCTGTAGAAAAGGTCTCTATAGTGCGTTTCCTTCACCCTGGTTTCACACTCTCGGGGGGTGTAACGTTCAATTGATGTTGATTTGCTTTATTTTTACTCTTATTTGGTTATTTTTTATTTTATTTTTTTTTCTCTTTTTTTGCTCCCGGTGGCTTCCTACATAGGTAGCTGCTTTACCGTTGTAAGTAATATCTCAGCGCGTGAAGATCCCCTATCGATATGCCTACCTATAAAGGTGAGTAATATCTCACGTGTTTGATGTGGTGGGAAATATCGAAAGGAGCGTAGCACGCGGAAGCCGGCAACTGGTTATACAAAAATGATTGCAGGAAAAAATAAAATAAAAAGCGAAAACATTCCAGGGGATGTACGGGAATGATCATACGTATCGTCATGAACGTTTGTATCTGCATCTTACAGCGTTTCTTGGCGCAGGGCAACGCTACAAAGACGACGCTAAAATGGTTGCATTGTGCTTCCTAGCACATGTATAGAAAAAAAAAAAAAATAAAGGTGGCGGAAAATGAAGTGAAAAAAAAAGTCCTGCTTCCCGTGGGAAGAATAACCACCTGGATGTTAACAAAGTCGCATTTAAGGAAATTCCTATGAGGGCAGAGCACACAGGGAGCACACGAAAGAGTAGTACATACCAAGAGCACCCATATATACCTACGTCAGCTCGATTTTTTCTTAATCCTTGCGCCGATATAGATTTGCTGCACATGTGCTGCGCGATTAACCAGGGGACTATATTTCCTTTTCCCAGTTGTCAACAAAGCCAAAAAGAGTAGCGAAATATGCGCATCCCCCACAGGACCAGTCATGCAGCATCCCCTGATGAGTACACTCTTAAGAGAACAAAATTGGGGGGAGAACCACATGGGGGTCAGAAAAAAGGATTGCACATATGCCGAACAATAGCAGTCATTGTGCATACACTTGTTGCTCTCCCACTCAGGGTAAGTATGTCCGTGTACATGTAGTGGTTAACGCTCAAAGACAGGCAGACCTGAAATTTCACTCGTGATGATGATTGCTAACCCTGCAGGGGATCAATCTTTTACTCAGTTACCCTTAACCGGAATGGTGGCACTAATGTGCGCATAAATAAATACTACTCATCTTTTGCTAATTCGTTATATGGATGAACGTTGAATTGATTTTTTGGGAGACATATATATAAAAAAAAAAAAAGAAAAAATGACTAAGCGGCTTATGAAAGGCCTTCTCAGAAACAACAAAAAATTGCAAAAATGAATTCACATCGATGTGTTACTTACACCAGAAGGTGAAAACAACCAGGGCGATACGATAAAAATAGGGGGTGCTACAACAGATAGACTATGTAAGCGGGAGATGGAATAGGTCACAATATAGGATCGCGACGCATTCACGCTTTGCCATCTCTGTTCTTGGACGCCATTCTTGCGTGAACTTCCATGGCCCTTCGAATTGTGGCAAAGTTCGTTTTCGTTTTAATCTTGTTCATTTTAAATATAGGGGCATATCTCAGCATGTCTGGGAAAATCATGAAGGACACACTTCCTCCTCGTATGTACACTTGCTGCAGAAGGGGGGTAAGGCGATTGGGGGGTTGGTCGAGGCAAATAGGTATATAGTCCCACAGAGGGGGAAGGATGAGAAATGCTTAAAGTGTCCCTCCGTTGACACGTTTAAAAGGTTTATATGTTTTTCGCTCCACACAGACCGCAAGTTTTGCATCTCGCATGCTACTTTTTCATTACCTCCAGGAGAATCTGCTTCCCGTCCTTTTTAACCACAGAGACGTTCTCTAGAAGGCAGTTCATGTTATCCTCTGCGAAAAGCTAAAGGAAAGAGGAGGAGGCGTGCGATATGCCGTGATGGGAACCACGCTCGCACATAAGTGCTGTTATACACGGTAGGCACAAATGGATACACTCAAATTTAATATGCATACGGCGAAAAAAGGCGTCGCGTGGGTTACTCGCCAGAGACGCGCTTACCAATGTACCCCTGTAGAGGACTCCCGCCTTGGTCTCCACCGAAATTGTATGGCCTATTCCTTCGTGCAGCAATTTTATGGGTATCCCTACCGACATCCTGTTCACTGCTCGCTACGCGCTTCCACATATATATGTATATATAGGTACACGTTCTCGTGTAGTCCCGTCGGGGTAACAAGAAATGTAGGCCCTGTGTACTTCCACCTTCCTGTTATTGCTATTCCGCTGGTAGATTTGTTACCTATATGTATATAATGCGATCAAAAGGGATCCCTTTTTTTTGGGGGAGGACGTGAGAGGAAAAATCAACTTAAACATGCCAACTTTGCTTGTTTAATTTTGTCCCCTTTATGTCGTAACGAGTTGGGATGGCTGCCAGAATCGCAAATAAAAAGCAGAAAAGGGAAAGCATTACATAGGAGAAAAAAAAACAAAAAAAGCGTGTTATTCTGTTTATGCCCTAGGAAAACCTCCCGTGCAACGTTCCATTTTTTCTTACCAGAGTTCTTAAAAAGGTAAAGCGACACCTTGAACGTTTATCTCGAAATGGGGGAAAAAAAAAAAAGCAGCACAACATAGCACAATGACACTACAGTTAAGAAGGCACGACAAAAGGGGGGGGCGTAGCACCTGAGCACGCTTAATATCACTTCGAAGCGCAACTCACCTCGTAACATTTCGGATATCTTTTGTGGCGCATTTTTAGCATACTATAGTCCCTCGCTGAACGAAAAACGGGAAAAATGAATAAAATGGGCTTTATGGAGAAAAAGCTCCTTTTTACGTCACCCTTTTAAGGTAAAACATACCCACGAAGATGTACACATTTGAGATGACAATTTGATAATGGCGCAATTCCATTCGGGACAACTAAGAATGAGGAAGCATCTACCTTTCGTGACCTCGCCGCGTAGCAGCAACAGGGACGATGTGTATGTATGTGGTGTTAGTGGTCATTTGGGTTTATCTATCTATTTATTTATTTTTATTTATTTATTTTTATTTATTTATTTTTATTTATTTATTTTTATTTCCTTCGCTTTGGCGCACGAATAAGCCCAACGTATGGACAGCCATGCACGCTTAACTCACCTGCTTAGTTTCTTTTTTATAAGTAGGGAGACACTAGGAGTGGCGCGAAAGACATGATGCCATTTGTTAGTGGATTACTGTTGGGGCGCACGCGTATGCGCAGTTATGCGTGTGGGTATGTGTAGGAGTTTACGTGGTAAGTTTCGGAAGAAGAATGCAAACATGGGGGTGCGCTCGCGGGGGTGCACGTGAACACAACGCGGAGTTCGGAAACATATCGATGACGTTAAAACAAAAAAACACAAAAAAAAGGAAACCAAACGGAGCTAAGCGGAACACAGCTGAGCAGAACGCAGCGGAGCGACATGAGCGACGCCGTCTCCATTTAATAATAACCGGGGACGACGCCTCCATTCACAACGTTCCGGGAGACACTGCTGTGCGTGCTGTTGCCCGCGCTGTTACCCCCGCCGTTGCTCGCGCCATTGCCCGCACGGTTGGTCACTCCACCGCTTCCGTAAGGGTCGGTGCTCTTCACAGCCTCATCGGGGTTGCGCGGCGCACCACTGGGCGCGCTGGGCGTGGTGTTTTCGATGCTGCCCGTGCTGTCTAGGTTCAAATTCTGCGCGCTGCTGTTGTTGTGCGTGTTGGCTACGTTCAAGTCCTCCGGCCCGAGGTCCCCCAGGACAGAAGCATCTCCTGCATCTGCCACGGGGTTATCCATCATGGGATTATCAACCATAGGATTATCCACCATGGGATTCTCCACCACCTCATTCGCACGCTCGTAATTAGCAGATTCAGCCTCACCATCCCTGTTGTACTCAAAGTTGCTGTTCTCTAACTGCATATTATTATCGATAATCAATTTGGAAGAGAAATTATCCAACGTGCTAACATCCTCATCCTTCGTTTTAGACAGTTTCAAACAAATGGGTAAAGAGATCCAATTTTTTCTTTTCATATAAACATACATAACGGTTCGTCCAACTTGCAAAGCGATGAATTTGTTTCGTCTGATATTGAAAAAGACTGGCTTCCTTATCTGAATGAGGGTTCCAAACTTGCTTTTACAATCTTCTATATAGAAGTTTCCATTGCAAAATTTTATCATGGCATGAAACCTGGACACGGAGATGTCATTTACACGTACATCTGTGTCATGGCCTCTACCCATCCGAACACATTTGGTATTCGCCAAACTGACAATGTAGAATCCCCTGTTTCTGTCATTCATTAATTCGATGATGATGTAGGGAAGCTCTGGCTTGGGGATCTCATATAACTCCAAATATCTGTTCTGTGAAAAAATATAAGTTGGATAAGGAAATTTACAGAGTTCACAATTTAGTTGCTTCCAGAAGAAGGAGTACGAAGAGGATTCACTTCTAATGCTTAGTCTTCCCCTCATCCACGTTCTTATACAATTCAGATGCACATACTTCATAGAGCCTTTACATTTACACGGTGATATCAATGGGTTGTTTTCATTCTCGTATTCGCACAGACATATTCTACAATTGTACAAGCTGGGTGTCCCCCCTTCACCTTTATTTCGTTGAGTCATATCTTTCGATTGGATATTTTCATAATCTGTCGTCGACGCGACGTTCTCTTTACTCGCGCAGGACATGCTCATACATGTTGTTCTCTTTCGCATAAATCGGAATGAATCTTCGTTGTTACTTCCACTTCTTCCGTCTTCGTTCTCGTTTATATTCCCCAATTGGTTACTACAGTGAACAAAATTTACAACGTTGTTGCTGCTATTCGATGTGTTGTCGCCTCCTCCTCTCTGCGCCCTTCCAGAGGGGGCATTATTCCGACTAGCATTACTACGTATCGAACTGATTTCCCCTGTTAGGTTCCCCAAATTGGGGCTACTCATTGAACAGCTTGAATGCCCCCCATGAGAATCATAGGGGGGCTGTTCTAAGTTAGACAAAGCTGCGTGTTTGTCTGTTGCGGCATTTTCTGACTGGTTTAGTCCCCCCTCGGGTTTGTCCCTTTTGGAATTCGTTCCACCACCATCGTTGTCTATTTCGCTTATCGCACCACTGCAATTAGACTTCGTTTCTAACAATCGGTTCGCCGCTCCACTGTCCTGTTTTCTCGCACGTGAGGCTTCGGTAGTGTGCTTGTCAATAAGGCTACCACCTCCATTCTGCGTCTTCCCATTTGAGGGGTGACTTAATACGCTACGAAATGGGGATTCACTTACCACTGCTACGTCGTCTTCATTCTGTCGGTTCTTACTTTGTGCGCCTCTCCCTCCCCCAGTGCGGCACTCTCCATTGAGTTCCCCATTCAGCACGTTCCCCTTAACAAGATAAAAATCGTCCACGTACGAATTGTTGCCAGCTAAATTGATGTCACTTTCTTGTGGTCGGTTTTGTTCACCTATGTTGCTGTTGGTACTTCTCCCAAGGAAGCTTTGCCCATCTCTAGGAAGCTCGCTCCCCTCCACCGCATCGCTAACGTCGTCCCCCTCGTCCACATCGTCATACAAATTGTAGCCATCCTCCACATCGTTACTGGCTGCGCCACAATTAATGCAGATGTTCTCGTCCTCCTGCCGTTGGCTACTGTAGAGGGAGACATTCGGGTTGATGCTTCCGCTGACGTAGTTGTTCGAAGGGTTGTTTTTATCAATTAGGGCGTTGTCTCCTGTGGTGTGTTCCATCCGGGGAGTAGGCATCCGATGGGGAACCACTCCATGGCCCGTATCCCCCCCACCAATATCCCCCGGGCCATTACATGCCAGGCCAACCATCTCTGGGATATCCGTTTCGCATTCATCATCGTCGAATGGAGACAAAGATTTATTGTACTCCCTCTCTTGCTGCACATTGGTGATAATTTTTTTTATTTTCAATTTAACTCTGCCAAGCTTTATAATGTCATCTTCGTGCAGTATAGAGCTTTTGTTCTTTAGGTATTTGACGATGACCCAGAAGTTTTCTGCGTCGTTTCCTCCGCTGTCGCCGTGATCACCGTCATCGCGACTGTCATTAAGGACACTGTTACCACCACGGTTATCTCCACTGTTACGTGCGTTGTTACTGTCACTGTTACCTACGTTGTTACTTCCAATGTTACCTTCGCCGTCACCTCCATACTCGCTATTGTCCCTATTAACCACATTGTTGCTTCCGTGCGGCTCTCCCACTGCGGTCCCCCCCGCAGTGCTGGACCCCTCGCTCTTGCTCTCAATACAAGGTATCAACTGGTAATTATTATTTATATACTTTATTTTACATATCAATTTCATACTGGAGTTATTGAGCATAATTTTATTTATTTCTTCTTCATTTTTAATTTCCACGTTAATGTCGTCTTTCAATATGTAGTAGTAATTGTACAGGCACTTTATCTTAAAGCATTTTTTGTAAAAATTTTCGCTCTCATAGTCGAACAGCCCATGGCTGTTATTAATCCACGTGTAGCAGTTGACATTTATAATGTAATTTTTTGTTTTCACACTTCTGTTTTTCCTACCATTTATCATTCTTCTGTACTTCTC